AAAAAAAAAAAAAACAAACCAGCGTGTCTGTCTCCTCGTCCAACTTGACCCCTCAGTAGCATCCCATACACCTGGCCACTTCCGCCTCCCTGACACACCTTCTTTCTTGGTTTTCGGGACAATCCCCTCCCCTGGCTTCCCTTCTACCCCTTTAGCCTCTTCTTGTCTCCTCTCCTTCTTCTCCTGGTCTGTCCAGGCAGGGCTGGGCATGCTAAGCAAATGCTCTACCATTGAGCTATAACCCTAACCCTACATATACTTTTTTCCCCGCTCCTAGGGGGCTGGAATTTTAAATGGAGGACTTAGAAATTTTAGATCTCTAAATATCATTTCCTATGAAATGACTGTCTAATAAACATGTCTGAATCTAAGTCTGAGCTTAGAAATGTGTAAGATGAATCTGGGACATCTTTTTTTTTTTTTTTTTTTTTGGTACCAGGAATCAAACTCACAACCTCACACTTGCCAGGCAGGCGCTGTGCCGCTGAGCTACATCCCCAGCTGAGTGTGGGACATCTTGTGACACCACAAAAGAAAGAAGCTAACATATATGCTGCAGTGACATCAGAAGGATTCAGATGCCAAGTTCAAGAGGCTCCTGAGGGCCAACAAGAACAATTTGAGAATCCAGAGGAATGACGAGGGCTGGGGGTTTAGCTCAGAGGCACAGTGCCTGCCTGGCAAGCACAAGGCTGTGAGTTCGATTCCCGGTACGGGAAAAAAAAAAAAAAACACAACAAAACAGAGGAATGACGATAGTTATGAATCAGGGATACAAGTCGAATCCGTAAATTTATGATACTACTGCAAAAGGAAAGAATACAACTCATTGGTCACCTTTGGAGGATGCTAAGGGATCAATTCATTTTTCTGAAAATTGATAAATAACAGGAGAGAATTCACCATGTACCCTGCTCTCCCTGTATGAAAATAACCAGGTTAACTGGCTAATGAAGGAAGCTGTCTCTTTATAGACATATTCCAGCTGAAAAATGAAAGGGCAAAATGATGGAACTAAAATATGATTTTGCAACCTCTAGGGAAATAATTAGTTTAGGCCACTAGCATCAATAGCTGCTAACATCACATAAAACAGAGACAGCCAGATCTTACTTCACTCCTGATGGATCATCACAAGTCATCCTGCAATGTAGTTGGGGTTCCCCAATAAAACACAGGGTGCCCAATTAAATTTGAATTTCAAATAAATATCAAATAATTTTAGTGTAACTCAAATATTCCATGAGACATATTAAAATTATTCATAGTTTATCAAAAATTCACATTTAACTGGGCATCCTGTATTTGTATTTTGTTGTTGTTGTTGTTTTCAGTACCAGGAGTCGAACTCACAACCTTGCACTTGCCAGGCAGGCACTGTGCCGCTGAGCTAAATCCCCAGGCCCCTGTGTTTGTATTTATTAAGCCTGGCAAATCTTGAAATATGTTGGCCAAAACAGATCTAAATCTACTGAAGCCTCAAAAAAAAAAAAAATCTAATAAAGTACAGGAGAGAGAGGAATACGTCCAATGACACCAAGGAAACGCTATCCGCAACTTTCAGACTGTGGAAAGCTTTGTCCTGTAGGATCAACCACCCAATGTTTTCAACAGATCATAAAGTACTCCACTTTCTGTTGCAAATAATACAAAGCCACAGACTGGGTATGTTTTAAAGGAAAGAGATTATTTGCTAGGCAAATCCCAACTAATTGGGAGACTGAAAAAGGAGGATCACAAGTTTAAGTCCAGCCTGGACAATTTAGCAAGATCCTGTATCAAAGTACAAAAAATAGAAGGGGTGAGGATTAGCTCAGTGGTATTTGTTGTGGCTCTGATCCGAGGCAGAGGGGCTGCACATGGTAATGACCTTCTTGCTGGCAGAGTCTGGAAGTCTCAAGGGGCGTCACACGGCAAGAGGCAGGGAGGGACTGGGAGATCCTGGCCTCCTCCCTTCTTGGCAAGCCACCAACATGAAGTTATGGTGATGGCACCCTGGTGGGTCACCTCCTGAAGCTCCTATGTCTAAACACCAGAGTGAGGGCTGGGGAGATAGCTCAGTGGCACAAGCACCTGCCTGGTAATTGCATGGTCCTGAGTTGGATTCCCGGTACCAAAAAAAAAAAAAATGATGAGACCTAAACACCAGAGTGAGATGAAGTATCTGTTCTTTTAGTACCTCAAACTGCGGATTAAATTTCAACACGTGAAACTTTGAGAGGTGCGCTCAGACCACAGCTGCAATGTGGGGAGAGAGAGAAGGCATTTTTGTTTAGATTCGCGTTTTTAAAATCAGGGGTAAGCGTAGCTGCCGGGAGGCCCAAAGGCAGTCTTGAGAGACACCTGCATCAGGAGTGTTTTGCTAAGCGAGGGTAATACGGGGAGTGGGAGAAAGCTGAGATCCTGCTTTTGGGGTGGGGTGCGATGGGAGCTGAGATGCAGCAACTTGAGCACCAGAGGCACTTTGGGAAGGTGGCAGAGACGTTTTGGGAAGGAGGGCGACCGGGAGCTTTGGGGTGATTCGCGGTAGATGCCTCTCACACCCGGTCCACTCACAGAATGCTCTGGAGTGGGGTGACTCGGACGCTGGGACAGACCTCCAGGACTGACAGAGGGGCTCAGGTTGTCATGGTTAGCTCCGGGCCGTATCCTGCCAGATTCTGTTGATCGGCCTCCCCACCACCAGCCCCGAGGGTAGACCAGAGACCGTTTCCTTCCGGCTTTAGATTCCCACCGCTATCAAGGTGCCTGCCCCTTCACGCACATTTGGTAACGGAGTGAACGAATACCTCCCCTCGCAGAGAGGGCGGCTTTAGGGTGGTGCACTAAGGAGACGTGCGGCGGCCTCCGCGTCTTGCCCTTGCCGCGTGCGCACGGAGGAGCCGCCCTGAACGTGGAAACCAGCTCCCCGGCAGAAGCGCGGGGCCGCTTTCTCAGGCATCGCAAGACACTCACCTCCCTCTGCGGACGGAAAGCCCAGGCCGCCTCCTGTTTGCGCTGGCCGCGGCCGGCCGGCGAGCGTCTGCGGCGGCGTGTCCTGCCGTGGGTTTCGGGCAGCCGCGGGCCGCACATCGCGCTGACACCACAGCCTGGCAAGCGGAGCCCTGGCCGCGCCGGGAGCGGAATGCGGGCGGCCGAGCGACCCCGGCGCAACCGGGGTCTCAGAGCCGCGAGGGCTGTGCCGGTCCCCATCTACTTGGGAGGTGAACGGCGGCCCGCCACCCGCGCCCCGGGCCGCAAACACCGCCGACAGAGGAGAGAGGCCGCCACGGCGGGACCTGGGCTCGAGTCAGAGGTCCCCTCGTGCGACCACGATGCCGAAGTCATGTTTTCTGTCCGCCTGACGCTGATCTTCCCTGGCCTCGTCCCGTGAGCCCTGGACGAGCCATTGGAATTGCCATTAAAATATTTGGAGGGGCGTTTCCCCTGAGGGTTCTGGGGGGAAACAAAGACTGTCTTTGTTTACTTCCCTGGTGAGTCGCCTATCCTACTCCCCGATGGCCCGCGAGCGCCCGTCGTCCCTCAGAGGTGGGGGCTGCGTGTGCCGCAGGCTGGGAAGGCACAGCAGAGGGGTGTGGGGCAGCCCAGCCTGGGGGCGCGGGGTAGCTGTGCTCTGTTTGTGAGTGTGTGCTTTGTTTGTGTTTTTTGTTGTGTTTTGAGCCAGAGTCTTGCTAACTTGCCTAGAATAACCTCAAACTCAAGATCCTCCTGCCTCAGCCTCCTCAGTAGCTGGGTTATAGGTAGGAGCCACCACACCCAGTTTGGACAGACTTGTTGGAATGAATGAACAAGAAAGACTCTCGAGCATATGGAAGTGAACACACCTGTAATCCCAACACTCAGGAAGTGGGCGGGGATCACCCATTCAAGGCCAGTGTGGGCTACATAGTGAGTTCAAAGCCAGTCTGAGCCACACAGTGAGTCCCTGCTCAAACTGCTCCTTCCCAAAAAACCTAGAAAAAAAGAAGCCCAATTTCCCCATTATTTCAGTCTCACAGGCCCTGTAAATACTTCCAGGTGTTTCTCCTGGAGGCCGAGCCTATTTGACCAGAGTGAGAGACCTAGGCTCCGTTGGGAAGCTCCAGCACTCTCAGGAACAGCACTGGGGA